TCACGGGAGACGCACACGGTACTTGCTCGGGGCTCTTTCCCGCGTGCGCTTACTTGACTCCCTACAAATTTCTCTGTTCCGTCCCTTTTCTCTACGTTTCACTTCTCCCCCTTCTGGGGCGTGACTCCACAGCGACGACACTTCGCGTTCGCAGCTATCTGGTCGTATTTTCAGTCCTCATACTGTTTCCTTTTGTGATGCCATGCATGCGCAAATCTCCTAAACTCCTTAAAGTTGGATTCGCAGCACACTAGATCCCGGAAGTATACTGGTCCTATTTCTGTTCTTTGTAGGCTGTCCAATAATGCGTTCCTCTCTTCAATATACAGATCGCAATCCCAGAGAGCATGGTCACGACTCTCCAGTGCTGAGCCGCAGGGGCATAAGCCAGAGTTCCTAAGGTTGAATTTTAGGAGACGCTCATTGAAACACCCGTGACCAACAAGAATCTGCGATACTGCATAATCGGGCTCGACCCACCTGAAGATTAGACGCTCTGCGATGTCCGGGAAAAACTTGTACAGATCCCTGCCATCTTGGCTTGAATCCCACCGGTCCTGCCAAATGGCAACGACAGCCGCCATCATCTCCCTCTTTTTCTTCCTGCGCTCCTTGTCGACCAGACCCGTCCCCTCCTCGTCGACTCGTCCCGCACGAAAAACTTCCAGGTCGGCAGGCAATACGCCCGCCAACACCGGTAGCGCTGCGTTGCTAGCCGTCCTGTAAGCCTTCGTGAGAAGAATCAAAGCTGGTCTTTGCGTCCTCATCAGTACGCTTCTGATAACATAAAGGGACGAGCGTTGGTACCATACGGCAGCAGCATATGTCAACGTTGCCACATAGGTCCCTGAATACAGGACTCTAAGGGCGTGAAATCTTATGCCCCAGGTCGATGAAGACACTCGCGACATCTTCCCGAAGCAAGCGGCGGCCTTCTCGCCAATATATAATGCATGCTGCACATAGGACCTAGCCTCGTCCAAAATTATTCCTAGGGCTCTTGCCTGTGAAACACTCGTGATCGTTGCACCGTCCATCTTTATAATTGGTCCACGTTTAAACTTGCCCTTATAGGTCATCGTTTGTGACTTCCCGGTAGAAAACCCTAGTCTGTTACGAATACCCCACTCGGACACGGCAGCGATCGTAGTTGCCGCTTTGCGCTCTATTGCGGAACGAGACGATGCTTCGACCACGATCGTCACATCGTCGGCGTAAGCAACGAAGTGTACTCCTTCGGGTTTTGGCAGCTTCAGGAGGTCATCGAGTAGGAGGTTCCATAGGGTTGGTCCGAGCACCGATCCCTGAGGACAGCCCATCGTGGAGACCTTCCACACTACCCGGTTTCCAGCAAACAGTCCTACACGGCGATTTATGAAGTAACTCGTTAAAATACGGTAAATATTAGGTGGAACGCCACATTGCTTTGCCTTGAGTAGGACCATTGGCCACCAGGCATTGTCAAAGGCTCCAGATATGTCCAAAAGGATCAGTTGCACGTAATTTTCGGTTGATCCGTTGGTAATTCGGTTGATAGTATTAAGGGCGGTCACTGTGGATCGGCCACGCGTGAAGCCATGTTGTGCATCGGAGATTCCGCGGTAAAGACATGGAGCGCAGGAGATGATCACACGCTCCAGAATTTTTCCCAATATGGGCAGCAAAGTTATCGGGCGGTAGGCTTTAGGGTCTGTGAGCGGCCTGTCGCCACCCTTTGGCAGAACAACGAGTTTGCCCATCTTCCACAGATCCGGAAAAACGCCCTCGACTATGCACGCCCTAAACATGTGCCAGATCTCGTCACCAGTTACCCGCCATGCCTGTCTAACAATCTTAGCCGTGATTCCGTCAATGCCGGGTGCAGTGTTCGGCAGTTCTCGAATGATGAGTCCAACTTGTTCTTTGGTCGGTGGAGTAGCATCAGTTCCAGATGGAGCACATGCAGCAGCGATCCGCACTTGTCGATGGTATACAGTGTCCCTGGCTAGATTATCGTCTGGGCATAAGGCATTGACGAGGCCAAGCATGGTGTCTCCGGTCGTCCTAGTATAGCCGTCAGCTAATCTCACTCCATTTAGCACGTTGAGAGGTGGACGAAAACGTCCACTGGCTGTTCGGTAAGCCAGGCCCCACGGATCGGCGTTACCTGATTCCGCGACAGAGCGGAAGAAGGCAAGTTCAGCTTCCTTCATAGCTAGCTTGTAGCGTATCCTGGTTCGTCGGAGATAATCTTGAAGAGCCTTCTCCCTGTCGCCTCCTATGCGACGTGAGGCCTGCCACTTACGACGTGCACAATAGACCTCGTTACGCATTCGGTCAAGAGCCGGAGACCACCACTCGTACCCTTCTTTCTCCTTTTTCGCACGTGTACCTAATCGTTCTCTCGCAGTACGTAGAAGTATTGCAGAGTACTGCTCGCAGATATCACTAGCTGGCCGCGTTAGCCTCAGCTGGGACATGCGGGCGTGCAGAGTCGAACAAAATCCTCCCCAGTTCACAC